TGTTCAAAACTAGCTACGAAAAGTAAATACATAAAATGTAACTACGAATTGTTAAAAGCTCATTAAAAGATAGTCATTTTTGAAAGTTCCCCTAAAGTAGGTTCGCCTACAACCAGGGGCGGATTTACATAGAGCTTTGTGGGTGTTGGAGCACCCATTAACCCCGACGCTGAGTATGTATAATGATATAGAAATTATGTAAAAGGGCCAACAATACCCCTAACGTATTGAAAATGGCTCAAAAATACCCTCTGTTAACCTTTTGGTCCGCAAATCCCCCTAACGTTTTATTTTTGGGCTCAAACTTACCCCTATATCTAACCGAACTAACCTGGTTAGTTTTTTGATTTTAACTTCGCCATGTGGCATTTCTTTAACCTGCCACGTGTATTATTTGTATTAAATAAAACCCGCATGTATCTTTTAAAATACCCAATGACCCTGACCTGCTCCTATATATTTGAATAGTCGGCTAAAAATAATTATATTCGCTTGTTAAATATTAAAAAAAAATACATGAATTATATATAAAAATATGTATATTATACATTAATATTTTACTATATATTTTACATGAAATTATTTTTAGGAGAAATTGTATGGTGTGGTTTTTTCTATTAATTATGATCTATCTCGAATTTATTAAGCAAATCTGACAATGGAACGACAGATTTTGCTAATATTTTAGCTCTATCGTGATATATTAAAACACTATTAGTTCCTATTGAAAATATCAAGTGAAGTCCATTAATGTGCTAAGCAGTTGGATATGTATATAATTAATGGTTTTAAAGAATTTTCTTTCCATATGTTTCTTTGCTTCTCCTTTAGAAGGTCATATAAATAGAACATTATCATTTTTATGTTTGCAAATTAAAATTTATATTTGTTAAACTTGTTAAGATTTACAAAATTTGACGGAAAAACTACACCGCATAATTTTTTCTAAAAATAATATCATGTAAAATATATATTAAAATATTAATGTATAATATACATATTTTTATATATAATCAATGTATATTTATTTTTATATTTAACTAGCGAATATAATTATTTTTAGCTGACCGTCCAAATATATAGGAGCGGGTCAGGGTCGTTGGGTATTTTAAAGATACGGGTGGATTTTATTTACTACAAATAATACACGTAGCGGGTTAAGGAAATATCACATGGCGAAGTTAAAGTCAAAAAATTGACCAAGTTAGTTCTGTTAGATATAGGGGTAAGTTTGAACCCAAAAACAAACGTTATGGGTATTTACGGACCAAAAGATTAATGGAGGATATTTTTGGATCATTTTCAATACGTTAGGGGATATGGTGACTTTGGTAGGGGATGGGTGCTGAGTAGGCTGCTTATCGGGCGGATTGGGCGGTTATTTAGTCTTAACGGTTTGGCTTATCGGTTATCGGCTTTTAAATGTATTAATCCGCTAGCCACCCGATAAGATATCGGGCGGATTGGTATCGGTTTAGCTCTTATCGGGCGATTTATCGGATTGTTTGCTGACCGTTGTGACTCAAAATAAAATTCCTATGCTCAGCAGACTACATTCCATTCTATAGAATATGGCACCTAAGAAGAGAGCTAAATAGAATNGTTAAACCGTTAAACCGATACCAATAAGCCATTAAGCTTCGGTTTCGGTTCGGTTTTCGATTTCAGCTCGGTTTTGAACACCCCTAGTGCTGAGAGCTTGTTGACGCGGGTGTGGCGAGGGTTCGATCCTGCCAGTCTACGCTAAACTTATGTGCATTTTACTCTTTATAGTTTAGGTCTTATTGTTGTCGTTTCTTTTCAGCATACGGCAATTTTTTTGCCCCAAACTAGTTCTTTTTTATTTCTTTTAGTAGACTTTATTGATGGCTTCTTGATTTAGTTCCTTTTTTTATTTTTCCTTTTTGCTTTATCTGATTGATTATAGAAAATGATAGAAAAAATTAGCTTCCAAAAAACTCCAAGCCCTTCTTGAAATTTTATATGGTTGTTTAATTTGATATATAAAGCTTAAGATATTTGCAAGTGTAAGCAATAATATTATTATATTATCTTTTTTATAATATAAAAAGTCTAGTATATTTGTGGCTTGTGAACAGAAGTATCTTTTGAATGATAATATTAAGTGTAATTTTCTTATTTAACTCTTTTTATTATCGTGTTCAAATAATTGTGCACTTATACTATGTGTTATATAGTAACTTTATGTTAAAAAAGTGAAGCACCCACAAACTTAAAATTCTGGATTCACTGCTGCCTACAATATTTGTTGTGGGTTATATCGATCTATAAGGTGAATTAGTCAACATATATGCAACTTGACATAATACTAGCATTACAATCGATGGTTTAACATCACGGGTTTGACATTGATTGTTAGTTGATAATTAGCATTAATAGAAGCAAGTTTAATAAAACACACTGCAACAATTGGATAACATGTTTCGTCTTTATTTAGTTATAGTCAGAAATCTTCTAATTGTAATCAGTTTTGTTAAACAACAAATGAATTTGGTCCGTTTGGCTCAGTTACGGTAACACTATCCAAATTCCAAATCAATCTGACTTTTGCCGCTAAATTAGTGCCGACAGTAAAATTAACAATTATAGAAAAGTGACTTTATATGGGAAGGGTCGGTATTAAATTCTGAAAAGCCTATAATTAGGGTGAGAGGTTTTTCTGAATGGTTTAAATTTTATGTGACTTTTTTACGCTTTGTAAGGTAAGAAATAGGCTTGTTAATTTGACTTTTTTACGTTTTGGAAGTAAAATTTTATGTTGATTGGTTTTAAATTTTATCTTGGTGCTGCAAACTCCACAAAAAAAAAAAATTTGTCAAAAAAGTAGTTTCCAGAAACTGATCCCAAGAAAATAATCTCTCTGTCTCAAATTATCTGTCGTGATTTTTAAAAATAGGTGTCTCAAATTATTTGTAGTTTTAGAAGTTATAAAATTAATTATTTTTTCTTTACCCTTAATAATAGTAATTATTCTTGAAGACTACTCCTCAATTATAGAATAAATATTCAATGAAGATAGATTATACGGTAAAATTGTCAAAAAAACCCTCCTATTTATAATTTTTTTAATGGGCGAGTAAAAGAAAAATACAATGTTAGAGACGAAGGGAGTACCTTTTTTTTCTTTTTTTAAAAAGATCTTTTCAAAAAACTGTACCAAAATAAAATCTAAACACCACCTAAATATTTGCTAATGAGGTTATCACATTAAAAGAATCATTCGTCATCAATTAGGGTGTTGACCTTATCTTAAGCATATTACGTTATAAAAAATACTAACTTTCACAACTGTCAGTATTGTATAAATAGTACTACTCGTAACAGTTGAACTATAAAACTTTAAATATAATATTGTCCCAAATGAATTAATAAAGATTAATTACTTGTCAACTTTAGATAATAAAGCACGATTGCCTTATGTGTCAGGAATCACGAACTCATAGACACTGATGCTTTACAATTGGCAAAACAAGGAAAGCAATATGAAGATAGAAATCCATCAGCATTACTAACTTTTACAATTAATTACTCCTACTTATTTCAATACCTGGAAAATTTAATTGATGACTAATACTTCCTCCATTCACTTTCACTTGACATGTTTTGACTTTTCACGCCCCTTAAAAAATAATGATTGACACGATAGTTTTACCACAATAACCCTATTAATTGATACTCAATAATTGAACCCAAATTCCCAAATAACTTCTGAAGAAAAAAATACTCCAAAGAACAAGAGAATAAAAGATGATTTTAGTGAACTTTTGTGTTTAACGAAGGGGATAATGAAAAATTCTCTATGAATTCCAATACCGAGCATTGGAAAGCTACAATTAACCATTATTTATTCAAAAAATGTTGGTTAATAAATTAAGGGTAAAACATGGGAAAAATTTATCTTCTCTTGATATGTGTATAGTGACAAGTAAAAATAAAAATCTATTTTTAGTATACTTATCAAGTAAAAGTGAACGGAGGGAGTATCAGCTAAGATATGCATTATTGGAGAATAGATAATTCAATCATTCAACGTGTTTCTTGAGAACAATTTTCATATTCTTTTTAATTTACTTTTTTTTTATAATCGTGTTGCTCGGACCAGTTCATCTCGACTAATTTTACGAAATATTTCTTACCTCTTGTCAGCATAAATATCAAATAGCTTTATCTGCTAAAAATTGGACAGATGATAAGAAATCATTTAGTATTTTAGTTTACTCATTAGTGTGACGTAAAATGGTTGTGACTTGTGCGTTGAGTACCGTGTACAATTTTTGGTGTAATTACTTGTAATTTAAAATTCATATGTAATTAAATCGGTTCTATTCATTTACAGTTGCTTTTGAATATTATCGTTATATTTTTGACCTTGGACTACAAGATTTTGGTTGTTCAACATACCACAACCATTCCTTGATTATTTTAATTCAATCATAAGATTTCCGACATTATATTTATTATATTGTTAAAATTATGGGTTCAAATCTAATATTTGTTGAGATTTAATAAATTTTTACATATAATTTATACTTCGTGTCAAAAGTTATGAGTTCAGTTTAACCTGTAGTCTAAAGCTTGCATCCCTGCTCATAGGTCTATCGTATATATAACTGTAAAAAATAATTAATAGGAACCATTATGATTCGTGTAACAGTCAAATTAAGGTGCATATACATTCCCAAACTGTTCTTTTGAAAAAGAGTTTACTTATGTACTGATGTAAAAATATTTGTATATTTTAACTATTTGATAAGCATAAATAAGTAAACTGATAAAGATGATAACTAACTTGTAATCACAGGTATGGTAAATAAAATCTTACTGTATCTAATTTAAATTTTAAAAAAGAGTTTAACTTTCATAAGAATTCTTATTAACATCAGAGAAGGATAATCCTTCCCTATCTGTGATGATCTCTATATAACTTTTTTTGGCAGCTTCCTTTATATATATCTATTTCTACCTACTCTCTTTCTACTTCCTTTATCTCTCTTTTGTTTTCTCTATTTTCATTTGACTCTTTGAGGTTCTTGAATATTCAAAAATTTGGGCTTAGTATATTTATATCAAAAACACAGCACAACATTTTCATATAAGTTTAACATCAATGGGAGAAGAAGCAACTCTTGTAGTTTCTCCAATAGCTTCTAAAGAAACTCAAGAAAATGACCACAAAAATGAGCCAAAAGAGGAAGTTGAAGAAAATGCTCTTGCTCTTGTTCCATTAATAGAGGATAATAAAGAGCAAATCTCTCCCTCTAAACCTCCTCCTCCTGCTCCAGAAAGTATATACTAGTATTCATTTTTAAAATACTTTTTCTTTGTTGTATTTTGTGTATATTTTTTGCTTACATATCAGAGATTTCTCTTTTGTATTTTATTGGTTTGTCACTGTATATTGTAGTTTTGAAGAGGAAGGAGAGTCTTGAATCAATGGTAAAGTTGTCATCGTGTGACTTATAAGTCACTTGTTTGAACCGTAGAAGCAGTCACTAATATTTGCATTAGGGTAGGCTATCTACGTCACACCCTTAGGGGTACGATACCTCCTCGAACACTACATGAATGCGGGATATTTTGTGCATCAAACTGTCTTTTATTGTAGTTTTTAGGACTATTTTTTGCCATTTTAATTTAAGGAGTGTTGATTGGTTAAAATCTTGGGTTTCTGACAGAGGCTGCAGATTCTGGGATTCAGAGAAGTACAGGGGGTTCCAAGGACAGAGGTAATTTTTTTTTTAAATTTAGTTTTGTCTAATTAATTTGCCTTTATTATTATTATTATTATTATTATTCATTTATAATTTATGGGGTACTTTTGAGAACCATTTCCAAAATGAGAACATTTTGGAAACTGTCTTGATTAAGGGAATTATTAAGAATAAGCTTTTAGAAAAAAGAAAAATAAGGCGGTGAAGTGAAACCTTGAAAGGTACAACTAATTGAAAAACTATAGTTTAAAGGACTTAATTTTGTAAAATTTTTAAAGGCTGTTCTCAAAATCTTTTAGTTTAATATTCCTATTCCCCATTGAGTAACTTTCTTTATTTCACTTTTGAAAGGAATGTTGGTTTTTATAATTATATGGTATTTTTGGTTTTTTAGATGCTGCCCTTATGAAAGTTGAATCAGAGAAAAGATTGGCTTTGATCAAGGCATGGGAAGACAATGAAAAAACAAAGGCTGATAACAAGTATATGATTTTCCCTCCTGATTTTTCCAACTCTATTCCTTTTTATTCATGTATTTTATTTATTCATTTTGGCAATCAATATCAACAGGAAAAAAAAAATGATAAGAGAAAATAAGCGTACTTTTTTATTTGTTAGGTGAACACAAAATGAACTGAATGTGCCTTCAATGCTGTTACATCCAACTTTCTTGGAATTATTTGCATTCTGTACTAGTCTATGGTCCTGCAATTTTATTTCAGCTAGGACATGGGAAAATTGTTTTAGGAAATAAAAATTGACACAGAAATATCACAATGTTCAATGAAATGCTTATTTAGAATAAAGGATGACAATCCACAGGAATTTGCAACACCTATATATGTATGTATAACACTTTATCCCACGATATTGTCCGTTTTGGACATAGGTCATATGACTTTAAAATGCGTCACTAGAATTTAAGGTTTGTTAACTTATATTCCCAGTATCTCTTCCGTGTTTTGTCGATGCGGAATTCGCCTAGGCTCTCCCATTATGTATTTTCACTGTTTATCTGTTGATATCAATTTTCATGTAAGGTTTTTATTTTGGATTGTTGATAATAGTCATGATTTTCAACAAATATCAGGGCATTTAAAAAGTTGTCTGCTGTTGGAGCTTGGGAGAACTCTAAGAAGGCAACTATAGAATTTGAGCTGAAACAAATTGAGGTGAAATTTTGATTTACTTAGTACATATCATTTAACTGCTGTCACTTTTTGAGTTTTTTTTTTTTTTTTTTTTTTTTTTTTTTTTTTTTT